AACTGAAGGATAATATATGTACATTTTAGATCAAAGGGGCTGGGGATTTAGCTCAGTGGCACAGCGCCTGCCTGGCAAGCGCAAGGTCGTGAGTTTGATTCCCAGTACCGGAAAAAAAAGCCCCAATAAATAAATAAATAAATAAATAAATAAATCAACACTCAGCATATGAGTACTTTGTTACACAGATTTTTAAATTTTTTAATATTTTAAAAAACCCATATATTGTCCATCACCAATACCACCCCTACCCTCATTTATGTTTGAACTGTATGCTAGGCACTTTGTAATACAATGCTATTGCTAACATTTTATTTTGTTAGAGAAGGCCTAAATCTTCTGTACGCAATCTGTACTACATCTTGATTTTGCATGGTGATTGTTTCTTGCCCATGTAACTTAAACAAAAATAATTTGAGGGTACTACCAATGATCAAAATAAATGTCAAAAAAGAAAATAAACATCAAATTATTGAGGATTTTCAATGGTTTCTTTCAAACGTCTAAACAGGGCTTCAGTTACACTCTTTTTAATGTAATATGACCCCAATTCTGTGTGGAAATACACGCATTCACTATGATATTACTTTGCATTACTGCCATAAGTACAGTTTTTTCTTCACTTTTCTTTTTGTGGCGCTGGGGATTGAACCCAGGGCCTTGTGAATACAATGTAAAAGCTCTACCACTGAGCCACATCCCCAGCCCTATAAATATAGTTCTTGAAACATGCATCTTACTTAAATTTGCAATAGTACATTTTTTCTTTAAAAAACATTACTGCTATTATTAGTTTTACTTAAAAAAAAAAGCCCAGACTCTGCCAATTCAAAGAAGAAAAAAAAACCCCACCTGACATTGTTATGTCTGCTATTATCATATTTAAAATGATGATACAAGCCAGGCATGGTAGCATAAGCCTGTAATCCCAGCACTGAGGGCTGGGGCAGGAAGATCACTGTGAATTCAAGGCCAGCCTGAACGGCACAGTGAGATGCTGTCTCAAAAAAAAAAAAAAAAAAAAAAAACACCAATAAAATAAAATAAAATAATGGTACAAATTCAATTAACTAGCTATGGTAGCACACAGCTCTTAGGGAACCTGAAAAAAAAAAAAAAAACACCAATAAAATAAAATAAAATAATGGTACAAATTCAATTAACTAGCTATGGTAGCACACAGCTCTTAGGGAACCTGAAGCAGGAAGACTGCAAGATCAATCCTGCATGTGCAACTTAGCAAACCAATAATTACCCAACTTATCATGCATTATGTGCTATGTCTAAAACAGACTACACATTTTTTCATGTAGTCCTTAAATCCTATCAGGTCTGATAACAAATAAGAAAACAGCACTGATTTAGCTTTTCATTTGTGCCAATAAGCTGAAAATTAACTCACAGATGTTATCAAGAACGTAATCTTGAACCAAACGCTAGCTCACTGGTCAGGTACCTGCCTGGCATGAACAATGCCCTAGGTTCAATCCCCACCACCTTGAAAAACTTAACAAATGTAACTTTATAAACGTTTCCTCTACTTTTTCCAAATAGTAGCTGAATTTAAATTTCCTCTGAGTAATGTATCATTTTTCTTAAAAGTGACAAAGGATTTTTATAACCCTTCCAACAAAATGTTCAATATAACTGGATACTAAATTGTTTTTCCTCTTTGGTAATTTAAGACTGCTTTTTTTTAATTTTATATTTATTTATTTACTTATTGTTGGTCTTTTTCAGACAGGGTCTCACTATGCAGTTCAGGCTGGTCTTAAACTCACTTTGTAGCACAGGCTGGCCTCGAACTCACAGACGTGTGCTACCATGCCCAGCTTGTTTTTATTTTAGACAAGGTCTGCTATGGTGACCAGCAGTAGTGATATATCCCTGTAATCCCAAGCACTTAGGAGGCCAAGGTAGGAGGATCTCTTCAATTTCAAGGCTGGCATGGACTACACAGCAGTTCAAGGCCAGCTTGAACTACATAGCAAGTCCCTGTCCAAAAAAAAAAA